TGAAGGAATGTATCCCACATCACAAGACTTCCTCCAACTACCACCACGTACTTCTTGGTACAATGCCGCTGCGAGATTAGTCTACCTCTAATCCCTATCACAAAACTCCCTCCAGCTACGACAAGATATACAAGAACTACAGAATACGCCCAGGGGCTGCTCTACTTCAGAAACTATCATATTCATGACTACGGAGATTTTAGACCACGCAACAAAATGCTCGATGAATCAAAACAGCACACCAGGAGGGTATTTATAGACCAAAGAAGCGGTGCACATGGACCGGGAGTACCAACGGAATAAACCTAACAAAGGACACAGTGAAAAGACAAAATTCAATGAAAGAGGACTCAGGCGTGAAGGAACAGTACTCAAGAACAAGCATATTCGGAAGAATATACCAACACTGTACAACTCGTGAACAAATAGCATTTACACTCAACCACCACCATACAACTACATCTGACAACAGCAGACTACCAGAGAATATGCCAAGATCCAGTTCTTTTTTAATAAAAGAACCCAGATATATGCTCGGGGGGCTGCAACAGGAGAGGTTTTTTAGTTCTTCGAACAACTCAGATTCAAGACCCTCCAACTCTTTGTTCCAAATAGCAAGAGGCTCGGGGGCTACACTCAGTGAGTGCACTTTTTTCTTCAAAAAAGCGCACATCACTCAGAAGAATTCTTCAAGATAGGAGTTTTCAAAAAAATATAAGATTCAAGACCCTCTAACTTTTTGTTCCAAATAGCAAGAGCCTCGGGGGCTACACTCAGTGAGTGCACTTTTTTCTTTGAAAAAGCGCATGTCACCAAGGAGAACTTCTTCAAGACAGACCACTTCAAGGCCTCAAGACAAAAAGAACCCGGACCGAGCTATATCCGAGTTCTTTTTGATAAAGAACCCGGGTATATGCTCGGGAGCCCTTCGACGAAGAATCAGAGCAATTTCAAGACAAGACCCTCCAGCTCCTTGTTCCAGATAGCAAGAGGCTCGGGGGCTACACCAAGATGGGAGTACTTTTTTCTTCAAAAAAGCACACACCACTCGAAGATCCCAAGAAGCGCTATATGGTTTTACTCAAAAAAGCACTCGGACGACGCTTGTTCCTACTCGGCAAGACCTAAAGGAATAAGACGAGGCTTCTAGAGCTCAACCATAAAGTGCTCAGGGGCTTGTCGATGCAGGACCCACAGGATACCCCTCAAGAAAGGGAGAAGATCTAGTCTAACTAAGATTCTTTCCATGTAATCTTAGTAGTAATATTATTCTATAATCTTACTAGGAACTCTCATTGTAAATCGACTAGGACTTTGGCCTCCTGACTATATAAAGGAGGGCGGGGTTCCTAGAGAAGGACACTTGACAATCAATCCAACGCAAAGGTTAACGTCGAACTGGATGTAGGGCTATTACTCGATCACGGTCGAGGGCCCAAAACAGAATAAATCGACTGTCTCTTGTGTTTACCGTCGAGTTCTGCATACGTCGAAGCCCGAACAAACTGCCTCGGGTACCCCCATGATCGGCTATCGGTGGTGAAACATCGACAGAAATATAGGAGACAATGTCTACCAAATGATGCTAACGTATAAGAGATGGACCTTTGAAGCGTGATACCAATCGGAGTGCACTAATATATCATCCTTAGCACCATTAGTAACTAGACATACACAAAAACTAGAATACCCCATAAGATCAACATTAGAAGCAAGCGTCTAGTTTCCATAAAATGAACATAGGTCTAGTTACTTATCCTATGCATGCTAGTTTTTCATTTCATCATTCAACCCTACAAGTAGCATACACCACACAAGCATGGATATTGAAATTAAAAACTTGTGCTATGCAAGCAAATATATGAAACACGCATATAAATGCAACATATAAGTTTATGACCTTGATCCCCCTACTTGTGTGCAATTTTGATTGATCCCCTTACAATGTCATTTTATTTGTTTGCTCCCTCTATCTTACTATCTTTGTGAATTTCTCTCCCCCTTTGTCAACAATTAGCATAAAAGGCGAGCTCAAATTTTAGATAGGTTGAGGTGAAACCATGTGAAATGAGGATCATTTTCCTAATTTGGTTCAATCTAGATAACTTGCAAAAGATATTTAACTCGGTTTGATCCAAGGACAAGCTTCTTCACATCTCTAAATAAGGGTTATCTTGTACCATGTTGAGTTAAACATTTAGAGATCATTTTCTAGATCAAACACTAGGTTTACAAGCCTACAAACATGTCATATGCTATGACTAGATCATTTCAAGCATTCAAGCAATAGTGGTACCATACAAGCATCAAATTCATTTGATTTTACTGAATGAGCCTATTCAAATGTAAAATATGTCTAGCTGCACTAACCATGTCCTTAGCAAGGATATATGCCATGCCAATCAACTTTTTTACCTTGGATTTCTCGAAGGAGAGACATGTCATATAAGTGGGGGGTGCATCAACATATATTTGAGAAGTCAAGTATGTTCAATTTATTCCTTAGCTTGCAAAACCTCTTTTCATCAAGTGGCTTGGTGAAGATATCGGTAAGTTGATCTTTGGTGCCCACAATCTCAATGCAAATGTCCCCTTTTTGTTGATGATTTCTTATTAAATGATGGCGGACATCAATATGCTTTGTTCTTGCATGTTGAACCGAATTATTGGTTAACTTGATTGCACTCTCATTATCACATAGCAATGGCACGTTCTTGAACTTTATTCCAAAGTCACTCAATGTAGCCTTCATCCAAAGTAATTGAGCACAACAATTATCGACCGAAATGTACTCTGCTCGGCGATTGAAAGTGTTATACTATTTTGCTTCTTTGATGACCAAGACACAAGTGATTTCCCCAATAGTTGACATGTGCCCAATGTGCTCTTTCTCTCAACTTTGCATCCCGTATAATCGGAGTCCGATTATCCAATCAACTCAAATCTTGCTCCTTTGGGATACCACAATCCAACATTTTGTGTATGCTTCAAGTACCTCAATATTATCTTTGTTGCCTTCAAATGACTTTCTCTTGGTGAGACTTGAAATCTTACACACATGCATACACTAAACATCACATCCGGTCTTGATGCGGTCATATAGAGTAGGCTTTTAATCATAAACCGATACATCTTTTGATCCACCATGTTGCCACTAGCATCACTATCCAAGCTTTCACTTGTCTCCATTGGTGTACTAATAGCTTTAGCATCATCCATTCCAAACTTCTTGAGCATGTCCTTGATATACTTGCCTTGACTCACAAATGTGTCATTCTTCATTTGCTTGATTTGAAGACCAAGGAAGTAACTAAGCTCTCCAATCATGGACATCTCAAACTCACTTGTCATCATCTTGCCAAACACCTCGCAAAAATCTTGATTTGTTGACCCAAATATGATATCATCAACATAGATTTGCATTATAAACAAGTCATTTTGAAGCTTTTTGGTGAAGAGAGTGGTGTTAATCTTTCCCATTTTGAATCCCTTAGAGAGTAGGAAATCCCTCAATCTCTCATACCATGCTCTAGGTGCTTGTTTCAATCCATACAAACCCTTTCTCAACTTGTAAATATGGTTGGGTTTCTTTTCATCTTTAAAACCAGGAGATTGCTCAACATACACAAGTTCATTGATGTACCCATTTAGAAATGCACTCTTCACATCCACTTAGTATAACTTGATGTTGTGGGCACAAGCATAGGCTAGATCCTAATTGCTTCTAATCTTATAACCGGGGCATATGTTTCTCCAAAGTCAAGACCTTCAACTTGAGTGTAAGCTTGAGCCACTAATCTTGTTTTGTTCCTTATTACTATCCCATCTTGATCTTGCTTGTTCCGAAAGACCCACTTAGTTCCAATTACATTATGATCCATAGGCCTCTCAACTAACTCTCATACTTGATTTCTTGTGAAGTTGTTTAGCTCTTTATGCATAGCATTGACCCAATCAACATCCTTCAAAGCTTCATCTATCTTCTTAGGTTCAATGGATGACACAAATGAGAAATGCTCATAAAATAAAGCCAATCTTGATCTAGTTTACACACCTCTTGAAATATCATCAATTATAATGTCCAGTGGATGATATCTTGCAACATTGATTGGTTGAAGCACTTGCACTTGATTACTTGCATTTGATTGATCACTTGGTTGAGATGATGAACTAGCTACTTGTTGTTAATCTTGCACTTTGTCATCACTAGTTCTTGCTTGAACTTGATCATGAGAACCACTAGCTTACACATTTGAGTTAGAGAGCACTTGATTCTTGTCATCTTCAACATCAATCACCTCTCTAGCCCTTATATGCCAATGTACATGTTCTTCATTGCATTGACTAATTGAGTGCCTCTTACATCATCTAGATTTTCATCTTTCTCTTGAGAACCATTTGTTTCATCAAATTTCACATCATGGAACTCCTTAGGAGTACCACTAGCCAAATTCTAAACTCTATATACCTTGCTAGTAGTGGAGTAACCAAGCAAGAAACATTCATCATATTTCTTAACTTGCTCAATTTAGTGTCTTTCTTCAATATGTAGCATTTACAACCAAAAACCCGAAAGTATGCTATGTTGGATTTTCTTCCATTCAATAGCTCATAAGGTGTCTTCTCCATCATGGGGTGACAATAGAGTCGGTTGCTATAATAGCAAGCCATGTTGATTGCTCTGGCCCAAAATGAATGACTCACATTGTACTCACTCAACGTTGATCTTGCCATGTCAATCAAAGTTCTATTCTTCCTCTCAACAAGGTCATTTGATTGTGGAGTGTACTTGGCCGAGAATTGATGTCTAATTCTAAATTCATCACACAACTCATCAATTTTAGTTCTTGAACTCACTACTATTGTCACTTCTAACTTTTTTTATGGTTGTTCGATGAGAGCCAATTCTAGTGTTCTTGTACTGCTGAGCGATAAAGAAAAGAGAGCTAGGAAGAAACAGAGCAGAATTGTTCAGGAAGAATGGTGGCTTACTACTGCAGCAGAGATTTTCAACAATCACGTCTCAAGGAGAGGACCAATCAGCAAAGATATTTAGTGCGGAAGAGCTCAAGGCTGCTACTGACAACTACAGCGAGAGTCGAATCCTTGGCCGAGGTGGACATGGCACAGTGTACAAGGGCATTCTTGCAGATCAAACTATAGTCGCCATAAAGAAGTCCAAGGTGTTCGATGAGAGCCAAGTGCAGCAATTTGTCAATGAGATTGCCATCTTGTCACAGATTGACCACCCAAATGTTGTGAAGCTTTTGGGATGCTGTCTAGAGACACAGGTACCATTGTTGGTTTATGAGTTCATACCTAATGGAACACTCTTCCAGCACATCCACAACAGAAATGCACCTCGCCCTCTAACATGGGAAGACTGCTTAAGGATAGCTGCAGAAACTGCAGATGCACTTGCCTATCTGCACTCCACATCTTCTGCACCAATCATACAGAGACATCAAATCAAGCAACATTCTGCTGGATGAGAACTTCGTGGCTAAAATAGCAGACTTTGGTGCATCAAGATCAGTCCCATTTGATCAAACTCATATAACTACTCTTATTCAGGGGACTATTGGGTACCTTGATCCCGACTATTTCCAAACCAGTCAGCTAACTGAGAAGAGTGACGTTTACAGTTTCGGAGTTGTTCTTGCAGAACTATTGACCAGGCAGAAACCTATTTCTGCAGCAAGGCCGGAAGAATCATGTAACTTGGCTATGCATCTGGTGGTTCTATTTAATGAACGGCGCTTACTTCAGGAGATAGAGCCGCACATTTTGGCGGAAGCAGGCGAAGACCAATGTTATGCCGTTGCAGAGCTTTCAGTACGGTGCTTAAACGTGAAGGGAGAAGAACGGCCTGCCATGGTGGTGGTGGCTTCAGTTTTACATGGGCTAAGAAGGTCATTCACCATAGACCAGACTGCCACAAGAAAAGATGAATGGGCAGGGGAAAATAGTGAACAGGAAGAGAAACATCTACGTGAGCCCAGACCAATTCCCAGTTTGCAGTCATCAGAAGTAAGCACACACTGCAGCATGGAGGCTGAAATGTTATCTTCTTCTCATATGCCAAGATGATCTTCCTGACAATGTACAATTGATTATGAATTATGATTAACAAACGGGGCTTTGCTGTAATACCCCAAATAACTCCGAGCTGTCCATTTAATTAGATCGGATGACTATAATCACTTATTACCTCAAAATATAAATTTATTTAATTTATTATTTGTTAAAATAGGATAAATAAGGAAAGTTCTAGATTAAAAAAAAACTTTGCTCTAGATCTAATTGATGCGTATCTGATTTGTTGGATGTGGCAAATCTTTTTATTTTGGGATTTTGGAATTTGGTGGTGTCACACTAATACGTAGGAGTTGTTACATGCATCGAAATCACTGTTGGTTCTTCTAGAGATCTTCATTGCATTAGCTTTCATGCTTTCAATAGGAAGTGGACAATAAAAAATTAAGCTTGAATATAAGACTGTATAATGTTTTGGTAATCTGTGTCAATGGTCCATTTCTTGCTTTGCTACGGGGCTCGTTGGATTTTCCCCTCCTTTCCTTAGGTTACTAGTTTATTTAATTAATTTATAAAATCTAAAAAAATCAATGGTCCAGATTTATTTGAGCAATTACCTCCTCCTGGCTCCTACTATGTAAAAGGAGTACCCTAGCACTGCCCTAATTATCGTAAAAATGTTCAAAGTAATCTTTGTTTAGGCCATTACTAAGAACTAACTGCTAACAAGTGAAAACGACGATATATAGAATTGAAATCGACTACTGAAATGCAACTGGGTTACATAAATGAAATCCTTGATCAATAGTACAAGAAAAATAGAAAGAGACGGTGATATATGCTGCTTCAGTTGAAACCATGGATGTTTCGGTATCTGTTTACTTCTCAAGCAGTGTAAATCAAGTAGTAACTTTTACATCCAGAACGTCTGCGCTGCAAACATGGGGCCATACCTAGAGACAAGGTACGAACGTTCATGGTGATCCGTAGTTTGTAGGCCGCCCCTCTTGTCATACTTGACGCCAAATACGGTGACATGTAGGACACAGCCGTCGACTTCACCGTCCGAGGCGTCCCGCCATCTGACGCCTTGCCGGGCCGCGCACTCGACAAGGCAGAACCTGGCGTCGCCCATGTACGTGAGCGTGGCACCTGTAGGCTGCCCCACATGTCTCTTGGGATTCTCGCGAAACAGCGTCTTCCTCCCGAGCTTCGAGTCCGGCGGCCGCTCGGCTGTTCGACGGCGGGAAGGGATGGCACAGGAGCAAAGGAACCCATCCCTGCGAAGCCCCACCCACGCGTCCACCTCGTCGACGTAGTAGCCCTGGCCATGGAAAGGCAGCTGCCACTCGCCGTGCCGCGTCCACACCGAACTCCGGGTGTCGAAGGAGTGGGTGGTATCTCCCTCTCCCTCCCTCGACCACAGTTCTTTTGCAGACACGAAGATGGTGCGCCCGTCCGGGTGCACGGCGTAGGCTCTGACGACATCGCGGTAGCCCAAAGGCATCGGCGCGGGGACGCTTTCCACCGACCACCGCTCGGCGCGCCAGGACAGCCGGAACTCGTCCTCCTCGTCGCGAGGCCCCCGTGAGATCACCTCGAAGGAGCACTGCAGACGATCTTCACGGCGCGGGTTGAGCGCGTAAAGCCACCGCTCGTCCACGGGCACGAAGAGTATGTGCCCGAGGGGGCGCAGCGCGGGCGTGAGGCAAGGCCCGATGGCCAGCGACGTCGTCTCCGTGTCGTAGATGAGGATCGGTGCCTCGTCGCTGTACCGGTCGGTCACGAATAAGATTTTGCGGCCGATTGCGGTCACACTTGCAGGGTACCGGTCCACCGGAGCCTCGATGCGGATGGCGCAGGGCTCGGGGAGGCGCCCCAGCTGCTGGTTGCTGACGGCGGCGGCGCGGGCGTCAGAGTCCAAGTCGTCGATGTCCAGCTTGTGGATGCTGTACCCCATCTCCCAATCTTCTATGACGAGGTAGATGTGCTTTTTTTGCTGCCCCCGCCGTGGTCTCTTGGCCGCCGCATCGTCGCTGTGCTGGTCGTGCCCCCGCCGCCTGGAGTTGGAGCTGGACATCTTTGCGTCTCGTGCACGCACCCGTTGTTCCTCTACTTCATGGGATCTGTTCTGTGCATTGCATCGTATATATATAGGCTGAGCCTGAGGCTGCCGCGAAACGGGACACCGAATCCGGCTCAACTCGTGATTGCGGACTCGGATCGGACATCATGGACCCGACATCACCTGGATGGCCGACGCGTGGCCTAACCCCTTCCAGATACGAGCCGACGAGCCCAAGTCGGCAGGGATTGCAGCGTCGTGGCCGACCTGGTCAACCCCGCCGGCTCCATGGTCAACCCCGTGAACCATGCCGGCGCCAGCGCCAGTGGCATCTGCTCAGGTATATATACTGCTTGAAGCCTTCATCGATGCTTAGCGCAGCCCCAGCGGGCGTACACGAGGAGTGGTCTCGGTCTCTCGGACAAAAGCACCGGTGAGACTATCCTAGAAAACTGATTCTCCCAACCAGTGACGGAGCGTGGGAAGAAATTAAGGGGGGGCTAATTCCCACAGTGACCTATATGTATATTTGTATATTTGTGATTTATGAGCCTATAAATAGACTAGCAACAGCGCATGTATGAAAGGAAGTTCCATGTCTGCATGACAATATGAGCAAGCCTCCAACTACCTACGTCTAGCATGAGCACAATTGCAGGGAACCATTTTGCTTGCATGTATGCATGCAGAATTACTCCGAGGCAGGGGGGCAACAACCTACAGCGGTTGGCTGGTTGGTATTGTTGCTGATTTGTGAAGAAGTATTGCTGGTTGGTTTGTATGAAAGAAAAATACTATTCTGGCTTGAAATTTACGATCGTTTACGACAAGCCACAGCCAAACGAACATGCTGCTAGTTTCGCCTTAACATAGCTCCGCCAGTGCTCCCAACGCAGGCATACCGTGCCTATCCTTTCATGGTTCCATTGTATGTACTTTTGGCGGAAAGTTGTCAGAGTTTTTTATTTGCTTGCTCGATTTTTTCTCTCACAACGCGCTCCAAACTGTATGCTCCGACCTTGATTTGGATACCAGATGCTGACACGGAGGATACCAGAGGCGAAACTGGGCATCACCCCCTCTCCTCTGCCAACACTTTACCATGTAGTAGTTATTCTATAACATAGATATGCTAATTAAAGTGGTAACGCTTCTGATAGGGCGTCCGTCCGGACGGACAGACCCCGCCCGCGTCGCCCGCTCGTGGAACAGATCCTGCCCGCGTCGCCCGTCCACTCACTCTACGTAGCTCCTGCTCGTGGGACGGACCTTGCCCTCGCCCTCGCCCGTGCCGTGTGCCCCCACCCTGACTCACGTCTCCTGTTGCGGCGGTGCTCCATACGCCTACCGCGGCCCCTGCCAAGGTCTGTGCCGCCGACGAGTTTCACACTGGCGACCTTCGCGCCACTCCATAGCATCGAACTTCACGCAGCAAGAAGTTGAAAGTGCATGTTGCAAGCGTCTGTTTCAAGTGTTTTAGAGGTATGTTGAGTGTTTCATATGGGTGTTACAAAAGTAGATCGAGATGTTGCATATGTTTCAATGGTTGTACATGTATGTTGTAAGCTTTTGTTCCTAATGTTTCATCTTTTTTTTCAGACGTATGTTGCAAGTGTGTTTAGCTGGATGTTGCATATGTTTCACACATATGTTTGCAGTGTGTTTTATATAGATGTTGCTTATGTTTTTCCAATGGTACGGTTTTAAGTGTTTTTTAGGTGTTTTTGCAAGTGTTTCAGATGCATGTTTCAAGTGTTTCATCTGCCTTCAGACGTATGTTGCAAGTGTTGCATTTGAATGTTTCAAAAGTAGATTGCGTATTGCATCTCCCTCTTCGCCTTTTGATGCCTCGCCTCGGTGTCTCCTTCTCCTCCCGGCGCCAGCTAGGCATCCACCGCCTCTGTCCTCTCTTCTCGATGCCAGTGACGTTCAGGGGGCGTGGGCCCCATGTGGACACGTGAAACTATGCGAAAAAATGACTGCTGACGCGGGCGTCCAGCACCCCGTTCGTCTGAACGTCCGGACGCTAGCAAGCCCGTAATTAAAGTGAATTAAAGTGGAAGGAAGGATGATATACTTGATAGAATGATAATATTTTCTTTGCTATACGCAACTACTAATTTCAAAAAGGCAAAATTTGCTACAGGACATGCCAAGTGACCCCTCTTTGCTAGCGGACATGCAAAATTTGGCGATTTGCTGGTGGACACTCTAGTTCCTTACAAATTTGCTGATGGACACCGGACCGAATAAAATATTCATTTTTGGGCTTTCGAGGAGAGAGAAGCACGGGAAATGTCCTTTCTGCCCCTGGCTGTTTCTTCTACCTTGGTCTCCTTCCTCTGGCCACGGCGGCACGGGGCCCACGCACGGTAAAACTGTGATCACTGGGCTTGACTTCAGCTGATGTGGCATTTGACGGCTACGTGGCGCGATAGGATTGGCTCATATAGGTGATGTGGCCTCACCTTTGACTGGTTGACCAGTGGTCAACATAGGATCTGAACTACCCATCTCAGATCGGACGGTCGTGGTTCGCTGCCTTTGTGTCCAGGAAGACAGAAGCAACGGTGATGGCTCGGCTTGGAGCTCCGGCGAGGACAGGGGACGGTGCTGTGGCTTTGAATCGAGCCCTTTGAGGGGTTGGGTGGACGTGCCATGCCACTGTGGTTCCAATGGAGGAAACGGGGTGGCGAAAGGAGGTGTGCACGGGGAGATCGATGATCTCGAGCTGTGGTCGGCCATGGCGGCGGCGGCGATTCGAGGCACTGGAGCAAGAGAGGAGGCTCGAGGAGGGGAGGCAATGTGGCGGCGTGCGATCGCGGTGCCGGTGCTTCCCTTAAATAGGGCGGGGAGGGGAAGGATGGCCGGGTCGCGGAACTTAAAAGCCGGTCGTCAATGGCGGCCGCGGTGGCAAGTGTGGTCGCTGCGGTGCGGGAGGGAGCTCGGGAGGGCGAGGCAGACGCGGCGAGCAGAGAGGAGTCCGAGG